CTTGGGATTCCAGAGGAAGGGGTTGTGGTGATGGAAGTTGAAAGGTCGTACTGTAGTGGGAGAGCAGGTCGTCTTCCATTTTTTTTCAAAATTTTCCAAAACATCAAAGATGTCAAAATTTAACTCACCCATCACCGTCGAACGCGTCCCTTACACTGCTATGATACTCATACATTGTGTAACCATAGCTCGTGTAATAAATCTGAAGCACATTTTTCGGCTAGCTATTTTTGTGGTTTTTTTTTTGCTAAAACTCACCTGCATTCCAAAAAATGCTCCAGCTGCTACTATACTAGCAAGCATGAAGGAAAATACTGTACACACAAAGGCATGTAGAAAAGTTGTATAACCCATGATCCATCGTATCACGGCAACTGGACCAACACAATACATGAACCCTAATGGGAAGCTGAAATGAAGACGGTCTCAAAAAAAAACTCCGAAAAATATTATACATTGAGCAAACTCACCCTTCGGATGAGGTTTGATATAAGTATGCTGAAGTGTACCGGGCACCGACTATGAGTCCTACACAGCACCAAAAAAGGAAAGTGATGAAATAGCGCTGAAAATAGGAAGCATAAGGAACGATACCATAATCCCAACCACAATTTTTCAAGCACAAAAAATTGAAGAACGTCAGACCGGTTGGGTTCGAACGGTACATCAGCGCTTTGAACGGTGCCGGAGCAGTTTGAATGGTGCACCAGCGATTTGATAGAAGAGAGAAAAAAATCGAGAAAATGTGTGGCAAGAATCAACGTACGAATAAGAAGAGTGACTCTTGTCTCTTACTCGAACTCCTGAATCGCCTGATGCATCGCCCGAATCGCTGGCCCATCGTTGGAACCGCTTGGCGCTCCTACCTAGCGATTCGCTGGATATGCAAAGTCTAGCATTGGCGAAAGGAGCGCGATAGTTGAGTACAAGATAGCTAGGGTAAAACGTAGAAGGCCAAGAAACGTGGTGAAAAGTCGGGAGGTTTACGTACTTTCCACATATTAACTAGAAAATTCACAAATCGTGCTACCGTGAAAATCGCCGCAAGTTTATCCCAACGAAAAATGAAAGCAGTGGTGCCAAAAGCAGTATCGGTGAAAAAAGCAGAGAAACGATCAAAACCCTGAAAACGAGACATACACCAGTTCACCTAGGATGAGGAAGTTTATCTATAAGTTCTAGTTCGATCAAGTCAGGTTAAACACTGGTATCATTACAACGGCGATCGACAGGCAGTTGCTGCTTTGATAGCCAGTGAAATAGAGCACTTGGAAAAAATCAAATGGTGACGAATCACGACCTCAACATAATATTGCTGTATCTTCCTTTTTCACCTAACGGCGATGAGGTCGTATGAGGAACTAGGAGTTTGCTGACTAGCCCTCGCTCTTATTTGCGCCGGCTAAGCTAGCGCATCTATCGCCGCGAGAGCGCCACCCACATCCACTTGAACAATTGTCAACCCATTTTCCCCTTTCTTGAACAACACATTTAATGCACGATGGACCAGAGCGAAGGTAAACAAGAAGTCCTTGAGGGGAAAAACAACAAAAGCCTACTTTTCGATTCGGTATTGCTCACACCTGGGCAATACCTTTCTAAATCCATTTGAACCTCACTTCCTCCAGACTGATTTAGTATGTATGCCAAGGTAACCCTAGCACTGTACGTGAACAACTCTACTTCTAAACTTACTTGATTTCCGAGTCCAACACAAGCGCCAGTAATAAAGCAATGATGGTCTTTCCGAAGAACACAAATTTTACAAATAGGCATGTGGCTCTGAACAGAAAATAAAAATTCCTCCGTAATGGAAGCTTGTAGACAAATTATCGTACCGAATTGGAGCATCGCGATTGCATACACTGCAAAATCGTGAGAAATACGCTGGATCAATGTCCTCCTCATCCTCTTCTAACCATACTAGTTCGTCTAGAATAAAGAACTTCAAAAAGGCGCATTGGGGAACTTGCTATTCTTAACCCATAGACCCCTACTTTCACCCTCAAGCGCATCAATTACATACACAAATTCAACGAAAAAAAAACAATTACATACCTATGTTTATTGCATTTCTGCACAAACCAGCTACACATGCTTGCCGTTGCCAGTGAGATACGCAGTTATGACTAAAAAGTGACAAAACAATTTTCAAAAACAAAAAAAAACTGCTGAAACCGTACCGTGAGTAATATTGGAATAGCACTAGGTTGACTAATATTTCTATAATAATCAGCACTCCAAATTTACTGACAAGATTGCAATGGTCGTGCTGCTGTGTCTCGTAACATGATAGCTTCAATCCGACGTAAAAAACAGACATCAACATGAAAACCTTAAAAAGGGTTTCATTAACATAGAACTAAAACCCAACAAAGCTAAAAAAAAAATGTGTAACATATCACAATTCGAAGCTGAATATATAGCCTAATATATTTTTAGGACCATGCAAAGAGGAAGATGAGTAGAAGAGGATACGAACGCGGATTCAGCAAAAAAGATCAGAATGCACATCGTAGAATCGTTCTACCCCCCCCCCATTGACTTTTCTGCGACTCGACGTAAAGGTCTTTTTGACGAGCCCCCAAATCGAAAAGCCTACATTATTTCAGCAGAATCATCCAAACTCCCGAAACGTAGAATACGAACGCAACTTCTACTACAATCGTGCATCGCTCTTCGGAATTCTGTCCAAGAGCTTTCACAGAAACAAATCGCAAGAAACAGAGGCATCCTAGAGAGTGAGAACACTCCCCCTCCCACTGCCACTCATTCAAAAAGCAGAAGTCGCGACATTACTGAATTCTCCAGGGCAAGTTCAAATATGCAATTCATAGGCGCATTCTATTCTAGTAGCATGGCTATAGGGGTTCAAATAATGTGAATAAATATGAAATTGAAATAGTAAATAAATACGAAATTGTGAAAGTCTAAGTGATCCAAAAATAGGGAAGTAAGCAAAAGCAACTGCCGAAAGTGCCTTGGGAAGACTCCGTCCATATAACCGCTCTATGACTTCCATGCTTTGCGACCAAAGTGAGAGTGCGTGATTTCGGAGGGACATGAGCGACCAGGCGACAGGAATGAATGGAGATAGGAAGCATCTCAACTTGAGGGGTACATTGTGGATGGCAATTACGCAAAATTTAGGCCCATACTACGCATTCTAGAGCCATAATAAAGGGCAGAACCTTGTTTGCAGTCCACTACACCTCAAAAGCGGTCAGGGTTGTACCACTCACGGTAATCTTGGCATGTGCTTTTAAAGAACTGAACTACAATAACTCGGCCTAAAACAGAAAAAAGGAAAGGAAAACTGACCAAAAATACACAGCCTCCATAGTTTGTGACCAAATCACCAAAACTAGCAAGCCGACCCGTACGATCACTCGATCGATAATATCCGTTCCACGCAAACCGGAAGCCGAACTGCGAACTATGATCCGATCCTAACGGCAGACGCTGGTGTCACTTTTACTGCAGTGCGTCGGGATCTAAAACTCCCACATTTCAGAAGGAGTTGATAGACGAAATTCGATCAACAAAGCAGAGCAATCCAGGTGTGTGGCAAAGCTTATCTGAGAGTTTGAATGGTCCTCAGCGATAGATAAACCATATGTTTCTTACACAATCTTCAGGAGGTTCGTTTCCGACGTGGCAAGAAGATCAAGAAGCGTAATACAGTGAGTGGTTATTAGTCTTGGTGATACAACTGAAAAAGTTTTTGAAGGAAGCCGAGAATGGTAACGTGGACGCTCTGAAGAACATGCTGCAAAATAATCCTGAGCTTTTGTCAGTGCGTTTTTAATCCTCTCAGTAGCAATTACGATGTTTACTTTGTATGATTTGTGATTCAGTGTTGTGACGATGACGGCTACCGGCCTTTACACCGAGCCGCCATCAACAATCATTTTGGAGAGCTGTTACGTTCTTATTAGAATGTGGCGCTGATGCGGAAGCGAGGTATTTGATATGGTTGATTATCCTTTTTACTTGTTTTTATTAAATTAGAAACGAGTACTGCTCTTCACGGCAAAAGCAGCTCCTCTGAAAAGTTGTTCTGAGTCTGTCCATTTGTTATGGAGAGTTCAAGGCTGTGATCCAACTTCGCGGGCGAATCGCTGCGATTCCCTGCCCCCATAATGCTTTGATATCGTACTCCTTAACCGCTGTGACATCGTGCAGTATAATCTTCCACATAAGGAAACTGCATGGTCTGAGCTCAGGTTTAGCGGCGGCGCGGCACTCTGCTCGCCTTTTCGACGATATAGTGTTAACTTTAGAGTGAACGAGGTATTCATGGATTTTGGAGAATGTAATGAGTTGATTGAAAACACTTGACATGTGAAAAGAAACTGTAGCGTGTTAGTATACACTATCTCGCTCAGGGCAGACGATCGCCGCAACGCGTGCCGACTGCCCCCCTCTCCGCCTTTCTTTCCTTTCAAGTACACTACAGGACAAGCTACTAAACGAAACCTATGGGTGTGCATGTTGCTTAGTTTAATTACATTTCAGAACGAACCAAGGTTGGACACCGCTTCACTCTGCTGCTAACTGGGGTAATTATGAAGTGATTGGACGGTTGATTTCTCACGGTGTTGATGTGAATGCTCGTTCTAATGGATCTGTAACGGTATGTACTTCTGTTCGGACAGTTGCTCTTTGTTCGTTTTTCCTCATTCCTTGCTTTTTGCAGGCCCTCCACTTAGCCATCAGCAGTCAGTGCGAAAACGCAGAAAACGTCTTCCACAGTGTTCGATATCTTCTCCAAGCTCCAGGTAACTCTGTGGCCATGGTTATCAGTATACACGTTTCCACAATTGCCCGCCTGCCCGTGTTTAAAACAGAAGTATTAGCCGAAGTTAGAGGCCCTTTATGAAAGCGACTTCGCGACTTGTAATCCACGATTTCCCGTTGCGGGATCCCATTTCTCTGCGTCGCCTTTAAATCGTCGGTGATTCTGCGGGGCTCACACAAGGGAAATCTGTTTGCTAGTCAAATTGGCGACGTAGCTCCTCCTTTGTAGTTCTGCGGTATCCAGGAAACGGAAGATGAAAGACCTCGCGAAATACATAACATCTCGTATCCGTATTGCCCGCACCCTCATTTTTTAGACAATTTTATTAGTTTGAAAGTGTGGAGCTGTTGGGATTAATCACTGTGGAGCCAGAGTGGGAGGTGAAAGTCTCAGAACGCTGTCTGGAAAATGGTATGAATTTAGCGCCGACAGCCCTTTCTGTATCTTTACTTACGATCTCTCATTGTCTCTATATATCCTGACTATTTCCCTCGTTGTACCCCTGATTCTGTAGCGCGTGTCTTTTTCGCCTGTCCATAAAGTAACCGCTGAACCTTCATGCAAATGATCAGCTTTGCGGGCCTCTGCAAAGGAAAGATTTATCGAGGAATAGACAGTACGCTGCGCAAGAAGGAAGTGTGTGCAGTTGTTGTCAGCTCCTGTCACTGGTGGCCGATGTCAGAGTCTGCGATTGGAGCGATCGGTCAAATGCCAATCGCGCGACCATCGCGCGATTCGCGCGACGATCGCGCGATTGACATGAGTCCCATCATGACCAATCGCTCCAATCGCGCGATGGGCGCGATCACTCCCGTTGTGGCTGGCGCGCCCCCCTCGATCGATACGTTGACTGAGGCATCGATCGAGAGGGGCGCGCCCTGCCACAACGGGAGTGATCGCGCCCATCGCGCGATTGGAGCGATTGGTCATGATGGGACTCATGTCAATCGCGCGATCGTCGCGCGAATCGCGCGATGGTCGCGCGATTGGCATTTGACCGATCGCTCCAATCGCAGACTCTGACATCGGCCATTGACTCGCGATTGCGTTGTTCGATTTTTTGCGGGTGGACAAAGGCGTCTTCCATGCATTCTTAGTCACTCCGCTGATGCCGTTTAGTCCACGAATTGATGTAAAGCGGTGGCTATTGTGTGAGCCGCACACACCTCAGTGGCCTCACCTTTTGATTCTTTCCCTGGACAATTTCGTCAGTTTCAAGAAAAACTTTGTAAATACATATTCAATATAAAATTTGGCGTTGATTAATCCCTTTTCGGGAGGCGCTACGTATCCTACTTCCACTCACAGTCATCGCATTGAACGGGTCTAATCTATACGCTGAAGTGCGGAGGCCAGTGAGTGTAGAAGTCAGTGTTTTCATCTTCCCAACAAGTTTTGTACCCATTGACAACTTGTAGGGATGAGAGCTTGGTTAGCTAGAGCGAGACTGGATTCGAGACGTCTGGAACTTTTGGACGTGATTGGTTGCGTCACTTGCTACTAAACTCCATCCCTAACTTATATTGATAATTGGTTTTTATGCTTGAAGAGTTTTTTAAAGTGCTCAAGACTACTTCCTTTCTTTTTCAGGTATAGACATAGGTATACCAAGCGGTTCCGGCGATACCCCAGCCGAACTCGCTCGACGAACATCTGCCATGCTTCACATGCTTATTACTGACCATTTAAACCGGTGACTGTATGTAAGCTCTATAAACATTTATGTAGTATTGTTTTGTTTTATCACATCTTCAGTTTCTTACTGTTGCTTTGTTGTAACGGAATGTGGCGTGGTGATTAAGCCACATTTTCTCACATATATAATCTCAATTTGCTTACAGTTTGATAAATTGTTTATTGATACAGTGGTTTCTATTGACGATAATCAAGTTTTATTCTTTGAATAGTTTACATAATATATCAAATACTACTTTTTTGGTTGCCTGCTCAACCTACGAAAAGGGGAATCCTTTGACCATGGACTCACAAACTTTCTCACTCAAAATAAGCTAGTTACCCACTGCTCCGCTGAAATTGTCACAGGTGCGCGAAGCACACATAAGTAAGATCAACCGTCCCGACAATCTAAAAAATTTTTCGACCCATCCCCTTACCTGAAAAGGTCTCGACTTGTGCCCCCATAACCTAACTTAGAATTGGTCCCCATACCACCCTGCCACCCGTTCCTCTTAACCATGCCTAGCATAGCCCTCATTACCATCATTATTTCCATAGTATTTCATTCTGACATCAAGTGGCACAATCCAGCACGCCACCACCCCAAAAAGTTCCCCAACACTGCCATCGCCTAGCCGGAGGCGGGTTGTGTATATAGCTCTATTTTCGATGCTCTATTTTCGCATATTCCATCCATTTTTCGTGAATGTTATAAAAACACGCCTTTCTTTCACACCTCGACAACTTGACTCCTCAACTTCCACCACTACGACCAGTTCTGATCCAGTACGAACCCTCTTCCCACAATCACAAATACACAAAAATTGGTGAGTACGGGCCTTGTTCCAAAAGTAGAACACGACCCTGTCGAGATTTTCCAGATGCGCAGTTGACCCTGGCTACAGGCGTTCTCACGCTTCGCAGTGGTAGCCCTTTTCGTGGTTGACCCTAGCACCTGC